ATAAATGTTCTCTATTCTGATCCACAAATTCTGTTCAGAGTTTGATGACATCCCTTTATGTGTACACTGGACTAGTAGACTTTTTAGAGCCTCGCTCAGCGGTTTGGATTACATAAACGCTGCTTGCCTCTCCATTCACTTTGGGAGCTCAAGGTTATAGGTTGAAGCAGGGCCGCTTGTCCTACACATATATAAGAGTATTTGCCATACCATTCATGACTTGAACCTGGACTGAACATGTAAAGTTCATTGAACCCATTTCTCCCTACCAGGACTGAGTTTCTCCTCCCCTTGATCCACATGAGAAATAGTGATAATTTTAGAGCATAAAGACGACTGATGGACAGAGCAATAGGAAGCACATACATAAATCAACAGTGGAAAAAGACTCTTATACGACATGGGCAGCGAATGCTCTGAAAATGTTAAAGGAATCAGGAACGTACGTAAAATCTCCATAATAAATTCCATACCCTGTCAAGGACGTGAAATCGCGAGGTGCGCTGGTTTATATTCTGCTCATTTCCTCTGCCAAATTTTTGTAACCATCCTCTTCTTCTCCTCCAGACCTTCTTCTGTCTCTTTTCTCATTCTCTCACTGTCTTGATCCACACCCCAGCCGGAAAAGAATCCCGTGAAGTCCATAAGACCTCTTGCTTTCCTTGATCCTATCTTGCCAAAGCTGGGGTGAATAAGACTAAAATCTGTCAAAAGTGGAGTCTTGCTAAAAAATCTGATCCTTCTAGTCCGATTGCATAAGTTGCTTCTGGAGTGCTCTCGCCGTCAGATGACTTATAACTGCACCCGTGAAATGGACGGATGTATCACTTGAGTTGCAGACTAGAATTTAGAGCGATAAAGCATCTTCTCCGAGTGTTATGATCTGTTTAACTTCAATATTGCTTTCTACATTTTGGCTTATCAGTTCTACCTGCATAAGTACATCTGGACATCAATAAGGTACTGAGTTTGAAACGACAGGGAATTCAAAAGTTAAGGATGGAATGAAAAGGAACTATTGGATTCCAGCAGCCTCTTCTTTTCAATCTGATATCCAATTAATAATTGAGCGCGCATGTTTATCTTAATAAATGTGTGGAGATTGTCAATCATGGTGTCACAAGCTTCTCCAGGGTTGATAAACAAGTACTACAACAAAACTGACCTGAATAAATTCCAGAGAGCTTCCTTGAACTCCACGCAGAGTCCAAGTCTTTGGAGACCATAAAATCCCGTTCAGATCAAACTTGAGGTCTAATGAAACTCCACCGTGAATAAGTGCTTCACCATTTTTCCCTTCTGAGACTGAGGTGTGCAGTAACTCCATGGTGGCTCCATGCCACATTAAAGGCTTATATGAAGTGATGAGCCCGCTGGGAAGCATCAGCTTAGCTACACTTCCATTTTCCATGGTCATCTTGACCATACAACTCTCATCACCACTGCTGATACCAGAAAACGAGACTCCATGGCTTCCATACTCATTTTCTAGACAGTCCACGTCTAGAGGTGGGCACCAGACTGATGCTGCTACCGATGGCAATCTGGGCTCTCTTTTCTTGCTGCTAGAAATGTTGCACACGAAAGGAGGAGGAGGACACTGCAGACGATGAACGGTCTTGGTAGGTAACAGTACTGGTTTTCTGGTGTTGGAAAGAGGGATGAAGTGTGGAGAGAGGAAACCAGAGTGGATGGTACTACTTGTCATGATTCCCTCAAGCTGAAATGGTGTCATAATCTCTTATTGCTAGTCTGGATTAAATTGCTTGCAGGGAGATTCCAATTAAAGGGAAGAAGAGTTTTAGGATAGACTCCCCAGACACATGTTTGGATAAAGTGACGAGATTTTTTTACAACTGTCTGTTGTGCTCTTTCTGCCTGCTTTTGGTTGGTTGCGGTTGCAAATTGTCAAACTCAAGACTTAAGTTCATCCTCGTTTACAGTGGTAATATACTGAAAACTACCCAAAAAAACCTGCTACGGCCTCATCTCTGATGATGGTTTATCTACTTTTTTTTCTTTGGAGCCTAATTCAGGTTGGCCTGAACTGCCCATTTGCGTAATTTAGATGTGGAATTACCTTCCAGGAAAACTCAATTCAATTGGAAATTGAATAAATAAAATGCTTGGCAGGATTCAAAGCTCTCCTTTTTGTTTAGAGTCTCCTTAAAAATAAAATTTGGGAAAAGGTAGATAGTTTCTATTCCAGTGACACTGACAAAATTACCATGATGCAAGAAGATAAGCAACGGACCTACGAGGTAGAGAAAGTTTCTCCTGAAGATGACCCACCACATTTGGATAACTCCTCATCAAATAAGGATGAAGTTCCAACCCCTGAAGCTGGGATGGAATTCTCTTCTGAACAACAAGTTCGCCAATTCTATAGATCTTATGCTCAACGTCTTGGATTTGGGATTTCCAAAGTTTCTTGCAAGAATGGAGATGATGATGGCAAGCAGAGTATTTTTCACTCTGATGTTCCAAGAATGGTAAGACCAAATCAACTACTAAACTTCTTACCATGGAAGGCTCTCAGTCTCCACAAAGACCGACTGTTCTGTAAAGCTAAAATCAATGTTGCCATTATGGATGATGGTACTTGCGTCGTCACTCCCTTGACCACAGTCATGACTTCACTCCAGAAAAATCACACCATATTAGACGTGACAAGTTCTCGGACTATTCTAATGTCAGAACAGAATAAAGTTTCACACTTTACATGACCAAAACATTTCAGAAGCTCAAAGTTTGAGACTCAGACCTGGAGATGCTTGGGCCTTGAGTAATTTTTTTCCATCATATGCAAGTCAGAGATCCTAATTTCTTTTATGCGGTTAATTTGGATGAAGAATGTCGCATAAAAAATATATTTTGGGCAGATGCAAGGTGTAGAGCAACGTATGAGTCCTTTTGTTATGTCATTTCTTTTGATACTACTTGTTTGACTCAGAGCTGTGATTTGCCTTTGGTTTCATTCATTGGAATGTACCACCATGGCCAAACTGTATTGCTAGGTTGCGGATTGGTATCTGGGGAGGATACGGAACTTTTGTGTGGTTATTCAGATCTTGGTTAACAAGCATGCTAAGACGTGCTCCGAAGGCTATAATCATTGATGAAGACAGCTCCATTCAAGCTGCTGTTGCTGAGGAATTTCCAGATTCCCATTATTGTTTGTGCCTGAGGCAAATAACGAGAAAACTCCCACAAATATTAGGACGTCTTACTTATTATAAAGCAATAAAGGGGAGTTTGGAAAATATTGTTTATGATTCTATTAAAGGGGATGAGTTTGAAGAGAATTGGGAGAAGCTGCTTAAAGATTTTGAATTGGAGAAGAATGATTGGTTAAAATCATTGTATCAAGATTGGCACACTTTTTGGCTGGCAAGTCAAAAACAACATTGAAGCAGTTTGTTGAACACTAAGATAATGCTTTGAAGAATAAGATAGACAGAGAGAAAAATTCGGATGTTGCTTCATCCAACTCCACCACGCCAACAATATCTGGACATCCCATTGAAAAGCAATTTCAAAATATTTACACTACTCCATCTTCAAGTTGGTTCAGGAGGAATTAAGAGGGTTGATGTTTTGCACTGCCTGCTTTGTGAAAAAGAGGGGTCAGTTTGAATTTATGGTGTTGTAGAAAACATGTTAGATAATGAAGGAGTACATTGGAAAGAAGTTATGTTTGATGTACATTATGATACTGAAAATGCATGTCAGATTAATTGTTTTTTGTCATCTTTTTGAGTCTCGGGGTATCCTTTGTAGGCATGTAATCTCTGTGCTAACCATGAACAATTTTACCAAGGTTTCAACATGTTATGTTTTGGACTGATGGCGCAAAGACATGAATCGTGGTTACCAGCGTGTAAAAGCTGTTTATGATGATTTCAGTGACAATGAAGAAAGACGTTGTTATGACTGTCTCAGTCCATTATTGTTGGAAGTGCAACGTCTTGTTGCTGAAAATGAGTAAAGATGTGACCTTTTGGTGAACTTTTTAACCAATGCAAGGGAAAAACTTCTTGCCACAGATGCTACTACTCTGAGTAGTGAAAGAAATCAGAGTTCGTCAGGTCTGCCTCACAATAAAAACTTCTTGCCACAGGTAGGAGTTGGAAACAGGTGGGAACTCCACTGACAGATGAGAAGGCGGCCAAAAATAAGGTTTTTTCTTTTACTTTTTTGAATCTGATATCCATATTCTCATAATATATCTACACATGCAAAGACTCTTGACACAAATTATACCATAGGTAACTAAAGGCCATCAAACTCTGGAACAGACACCAACAGTTGGTATGGTGGCAGAACAAGAAAATCAAATGGTTTGTAGTTTGGTGTAGGACTCGGATTGGCATGACTTCTTGTGAATTTAGATGTCTCAAATGTTTCTCGATTTACATCAAAGAGGAATAAGATGCTTGGTTGAAGAAAGCTCGACGATCTATCTATCTTTTGTTATCTGAGCTGTTGTAGTTGTTATATTATCTCTTTGATTTTCTTGCTTACTGTGCAGCAGCAATAAGTTTCTGGGGCAGTTCAGTGACAGATTCATGATCTTCTCAACACCAATGATCACCCAAGGACAAGTTCTCCTTGATTACTTCGTATACTTATCATCCTATGTAAGAATTTGTGGTGGTGGTGATGGAAGAATGATTTTTTACAAAAAGCTGAATTTGCAATTAATCTCAGATTATTTTGGTTGAGCGTAATTGTTCCACTCTTGACAGAGGCAGTAGATTATTCTCTTGTTCGTCCTCTTGCTTGAGTGGTTGCTTTGTCAAACGCCAGTTGAATCTGAACTGCAATACATGCGAGGATGCATGTTTGCCATATTGTTGGTTCTGATTAATCCATTTACTACCACGTCAAAAATGGTGAAAAATGATGAAAAGTTCTGTCTCACATCTGCATATGCAGCTGCTCCTGCTGTCATTCTTGATTGATGGATTTCCTACAGAATATATGAATTGTCCGCTAAGTTGTTATCCAAGAACTGCTCAATTATCACGATTCATGAAATAGATTGATGCTACAATGTACATATTTCAATATCTGCACATCTCAGAACAAACTCAAGGGCGAAAATCAATTGGTGCTGTCTGTTAAATTGATGGTTTTTACAAATTATCGTGCTCGATGACTTGTGCCCCCCTCCACTCCTCACCAGGGTTGATGACGATCGGAACCAGCATTGAAGCAGGGCCCGTACATATAAAGTAATCCTTCCATACTTCCGAGAGACAGAACCAGGGCTGGACAAATATATATCTTCAAAACCCATTCGTATAAACCTAAAGAAGAGCTCTCGCCCTGGAAAGAAAAGAACCAACAAGGGACAGAATTCATTAGAAAAATGAAGCAGGTTATAAATATTCAACTGCATCTATAGAAATGATAATATGGGAGATAGTTAAGAGGAATTATCATCAACACCATTGACTTTGTATAGTCCAAAGTACACGGATAATGCTAGTCGAATGCTGAGGCATTACCTGATCAAGTACCTCATATTTTGAAGGTGTGGTATTGTAGAACTCTTTCAATCTATCAGCTGGTGGAGCAGCATAAACTCTACTGAGCTTATGCTTCAGTACTGTGAAGGGAACGCCTTGCACACTCCATTCTCCTGGTTTCTTTTCGGCCTCCCAGCCAAAAGAGAAGAAGCCAGGATCCTCGGTTTTAACAGCTTCAGATGGAGATAGAATCTCATAGTGCGAAGATAAAGGAGGGAGGGTGCAGTAAGAGCAGGTCTTGAGGCCTCGCACACCTGCTCCACTTCGTCCCTTCATCCTGAAATGCGTAAGAATGGCGCCAGCCAGGTTGACAGCTTTACGGCCATTGTTCTTCACAATAACTGCGGTTGCCACGCACAAGGGATAGAGTGAAACTACGTAAGTTAATTCCAGACTTCCACTGGTGCTACACAGTTCAACCTGCAGCCAAACACACACAGAGTTTGTCCAAGGTGGAAAAAACGAATTCAGTACTGTAGTGAATCCATGTCAAAAGGCCCCTATAAATTATTTTGGAGCAACAAAAGCTGCCATTACATGGGTGCAACTGTGCAACCCAGTAGTTATATTTCTTCTCAAGAAGAGAAGAGAAAAGCAGTTAGCACTTAGCAGAGCAAGCAAAACTATATTGGCAAAAAGAAATGAGCAAAATGAATGACTGGTTCCTACTCGCAAGTCATAATGGAGGAGGATGAGAAAGTACCTGCACAGCATCAATAGAATCAGAGTCAACATCTTTTACGGTCCATTCAGAAGTTTTGAGAAGAGACCCTTTTGAATTTGGGTCGAAAGGTCATTGAATGCCAAACCAATACCACCTCTGGAAGGAGGAGGAGCAGGGGAACTGAAAGAATTGCCCATTTGCTGGAAGAGTGTAGAGGACTTCCTCAAAGCCATCATCTTTCCAGTAAACTTTAGGCTTATAAGAAGTGACATGACCACTGGGTATTTGAACTTTTACTGAGCTGCCATTTCTCACAGTCAGCTCAACCGTCGGAACATCTCCTGCGGACTCCAAGATTTAATGCCTTTGCGACCAAACCTCTGCGTCAAGAGTCTCTGCAGGAGGAGGAGACGACGTGATTGGAACAGAAGAAGCTTTAGGTATAACAGTAGCTGAGCTTGGTTTTGGGAGAGGAAAGGATAGAATAGAAGCCATGATTGAATGAAAGCTAAGCACTAAGCAGTTTGTTTCTTGAACCACCACCGTCCACTGGCAAGCCAATCTTCTATAACCTGGCTCTCACCCCAGAAAACTTTTGACGGTAATCTGGTTCCCACACTCCCAGCTTTTACCTCTTTTACTCACATACGTATTGCTACTAGCTAAAGAGCTCAGAGCAGATTATTGCTTGCCAATACGTATAGTATTTGTTTTTTCTTTTTTTTTTTAAAATAAAAAAAAACTGAGAAATCAAAACCAAACGCCCATTTCACAAAACCTTCATACGTCATTTGACAGAAAAAATGAGGAGCATATAATTTTGCTTTCCATCGCAAGCACTCGACGTTGTTGCCTTGTTGGGCCATGAAGAAAAGCTTTTTTTATTAACATTTCCAAATATTTCCAGCGAAGATATAATCTGACTCCGATAAACAAGAATTAAAGCTTCCAATGTAGAATTTGATGCCGGGCTCTTCACATCACAATAGGTATAAAACGCCCAATTCACCATGGATTGTGTACTTCCACTGTAATATGATAACTAAAAATGGAAAACGCTAAACACGAACCAAGCCACAAATGCACTTCTAGTGGCATATACAATCAGAGTCAAAAACACCCAAAATTTTTCTTCGACCACGTCCGTCCTAGTAATTGGTATGAAAGTAGGAAACAACACGCTAACATTCAACTATTCTCCGCCTTCTCTGATGAAAACCCTTTGACCCACAAGAGGCCCAGAACACTACCAAGCAAAATCTAAATCAGACGCTACATTCATATTGAACACTCAATCTTCATCCATCCCTGCAGGAGCATCTTTTTGGACCACCAGCTGGTTTTGCCATTATAATCTGCATCGGAAAACCAATAGGTGATGACACACAATCACAAATCTTGTAAAAGATGAGGAAAACTTCTTAACGCGAAAACATGAAGAACCATTTCCATCACTCTGTGAGTAAAAGCAACTGAAAATATTTGCACTGCACCTACTAAAGTCAGACAAGATCTATGATCAAATTTATAGCAGAGGTATCCACAATTATTTACAACAGCAGCACCTTTTAGACCCTCTTTATGGGACCTTAGTGTCCCAAACTGAGCAAAATTACTACAAGAATCTCCAACTATGCTTCAATATTGTGGTTAACCCAAGCCTTCTTTTGAAACTAGTGAGAGGATATAGTATGAGCTTTTTTGCATGCCCAAGAAATCCTGTCATGATCCATGACTTGGGAGATTGACATCTCTGCATTGGGAAGTCTGCAAACGTCATCTATATCTCAACCACCAGAACCTATACGCGTAAATACAACACCCAAGGACCAAAGTTTCAACATTATAAACCAACAAGTGCCATCATGCTTGACAGCATTGGGCTATTCCACCTGGTTATTTAGCCTCAACAAGGGAAACTTCTAGGCAGCACATTCAAAAGACTATCACACAACCCACAGAATAACTTGATGAACTGAAAAACCTATACCTAAACCCACGGTCATCACCTACACACCAACCACCAGGCCATCTGGTAGACTACTTCTGCATATCCGCTCCATAAACTACTTAATTCTTGTATAACTATCACACCATCAAGTGAAATTCTTTCACGTCCAAAAAGGTCGACTAAATGCAGCATAAACCACAGAAATAGGTAATTTACCACCAGTATCATGATAACCACATTATGAAGAAGAAAAGTAAAGATGCCAAGAATGCCTTACCTGGTCTACACGCAGGACAGTACAGACAGCATCAGCAGCAAATTTGAGAGCAAAAAACCTGTCAATTGAACCAAATTCCTAGTTAAGAGCCTTCTGACACTTCATTAAATTCCATATTCCAGAATAGCTTGAGTTACAAAAGAATATTCCAGAATGCATCAATCTCAGGGAAACTAAACAAAAAAAGATCTCCTTCATGGGTGGTTAAAAAAGCCCAAGCAGGCAAGCATGTGAGTGTTCACAAGCTCATGCACAGCTGAGTTGCTTGGATCTTTTGATTAGGTTTTGAGGATCCAAAAACCAAGGTCGACAGAACTAAGGATCCCTATTGAGCTTTTGTTTACATTGTTCCACAGAAGCAAGATTTAGTTAGTTGGTAGCCTTTAACATGCATGATATATACAAATGAGATCACTAGAAAGTGCTAAACAATCTTCTGCACAACCTTCACGAGCAGGGTTTAATGCTTACTCCAGGACTGACATAAAAACAACAGTTTGCTCTCATTCTTCAAAATTTTGCTCTCAATCTTCAAAGTTGAAACTTCTACACTAGAAAAAATTTGAATGTGGATTTCAGCAATATAAGGAAAAAGCTTACTTTGTGATATATAGGTCCCATATGCTGTTCGTGGAGACATCTTTGCACGTGCCTTCTTCCAAATCGATGCCAACTCTTGCGTTCCCAGATGCATGTTCGGCATACAACGATGATATAATCTCCATAGCATTAAGCCCAGCATTCTCAGCCAGGGTTTTAGGTACCATTTCAAAACTTTCAGCAAATTTGGAAATTGCATACTGATCTAAGCTGCATGGCAATAGAAAAATCTAAGCCTCAACTAAACAAAGCACCCATGCTTCAGTTTACTAATTGGTAAGAAAATCAAGACAACAATAGACAACTAACAGTATGCCATTGGATATGAGAAACCAGTACATATTCGCACAAACATTCAACAAAAACACTTTAGAAATAGATTGCAACACTTGTCATTAAGTTAATGTGAATAAAATGGTCCTCTAACTCAGATTCAACCACACTGTTCAATCATATACAGGGAGAACACTAACTTTCAAGCAGATCAGTCAGCAATCAAGGCAAAAAATGGCAGGTCCAATAATTTACTCAAGTTTACCTTATCCCATGCAAATAATCAAACAAACATATATAGCAGAAAGAATATGCAAAACAAGGTTGAAGATGTATGTTACTTTTGGTAGGACAAGGTTGAAGATGTATGTTACCTTCTGGTAGGACAAAAAGAAGCCACAAAGCAGATGCACATCAACTTTTCAAAACAAGAACTAAATAAATACATGTGCAAAATGGATAGAATATTTGCTAAAGCTTGTGAAGAACATGTATATAGCTTGCACTTCAGCACAGCTGCCTTAACCTAAAATAAAACATTCTTCAGTGCAAGGTAAGGAAGTGCATTACCCAGTTTCTTTGAGAGAAAACTCCTTTAGTCTTATGGCTAATTCAATCTCAGTAGCTGCAGCACCAGGTACTATCCGACTATCCCTGCACATTGCCTGGTATGGATGGAAACAGCAAAGTCTATTAGATCCTAACTGCAAGTAAAAACTTGCAAATCACCAAGAAGCAAATAGTTAACAACTTGCAAAGGCATTCAGAAGAAAACCCATCATTCCAAATATATCTGCTATATTCAGAAAGGGTACCTTGTAAGTATTAACTCCATCATCGACCGCTCTCTCAAGATCATCTAATATACTATCAGTGCTACCTCGCAGAACAACTGTGGATACAGAATTTCCACCTTCTTCATTTCTTGCAATTGTAACCTAATCATCATTCATAAAAATCATATCCAAGCAGTTGAAACAACTACAAATTGAAGAGTAACAGCACTATGGGCAGTCTTATCATACTCTAACACCACCAATTTCCTCCACTGAAATGGAATCAACATATCCAAGATCATCTGGATTTGGCGGACTAAGTTTCAACTGTATCGCCAAAAAAAACAAAAATCAGAAGGAATACAACGAAGTTTCACAACTTAATACTCTCTGACTGCAAGATGCTTACAAGAGCAACAGCACCAGTGGTACGGCAAAACCGTCGAAGCTCAAATTTGGAGCTAATCTTTAGGACCATGAGCCTGCAAAGGATATGTACTGGGTAATCAGTTGTTCAACATATATAGGTTGTTAGGCAAACAGACAACAAGTAATATGCATGGCATAGGAAAAGATGAACCATAACGATAGCAATTCAAGATCCAGTCAAGGCAAATGCAAAATCGTCCAAGACTCCAATATAATTACCGCCCACCAACACCCCCTCCCCCGAAAAAACAACAAAAAAGAAAAAATTGAATACAAAAGAGATAAGGAAAAAAGTTCAGGACAAGCAGATTTTACATATCTTCTCATGTATAAATACACTTAAATAAAGGAAATTTTCCCACTATATCCAAGGTGAGAAAGGGGATGCAAAATGGAGCAAAATGACACAAAGCTAAAGGAGAGTAATCTACATTTCAAGCTGATGAATCGCCTTACAAGTTTCCCAAGATATTCAAGCAGATGAAAGTTGTCAAAACGAGTGACCAATACACACGACCTTTCAGTAGTCTATAGTGCAGAATGTGCCAATATTTTGTTGCCCTACCTTTCATTCCCATCAGGATATGATATTCATACCTATCTGTTACTGTACAGCAACCTCATAGAGATACAAAGGCAAACTAGGACTCTCATTGTATTAGGAGAAACAAACCATTCTTTCAATAGGCTAGGTTAGCAGAAATGAAAAAGCACTTGACTTCTCATTTCTCTGTAGAAATAAAGGCACAAAAATTAAAGTTAAAGTAACAGGTAGAGAAAATGGTTGTACTTGTAACGCTCACAAAAATGTAGTGCATCTCTCCAACAGCTGCTCCACTAACAATAACCTTCGCACCAGATTCTGCAACTGCTTTGATGAGTTGCTCAACCTTAGCTTCTTCAGTCCTTGCATAATTTCGAGCTGCAAAAGCAGAAGAGATTAACAGATTAAAAATTACCAACTCTGAGATGAGAGGATATTAACACAGAACAGGTTACTAGATGCTCCAGAATTCACGAAAGCAAACAAAATAGATGAACACTAGAAGAA